GATGTAAGCAGCCTGTTGAAGGCTGTCTGATGTAAGCAGCCTGTTGAAGGCTGTCTGATATTCCTCGTGGGGGTTGGAGTAAAGAGTCATAAGACACATTATACCATACCCACTGTCACCTAATAAGACAGTGTTTCTTGTCCTTTTCATGATTTCACACACTGCCGAATTCTTCCATATACGAGAATCATGAACTGATCCAGGCCAACTTGCATCTATACTAGTTATAACACAATTCTGGTCACATGTGACCTGCACATTAATACTGCTAAAACCTTTTCGATTTATATATTCGTCTCCAAATCGGGCTGGCTTTTCAATACGTGCAGTCAATAACCCCAATAGCTGTTGGGAAATGGAACCTGGTCAACCACTTCTCTTTGGCCCGCATGATTTGATTTTCTGTATTTGGGAACCGGATCCATTTGCCAGCCTCATGTACAATCCGTTCAAGCACCTCATGAAATATTCTGGACACTGTGGGTTGTGTACATCCCAATTCTTCAGCAATTCCGCTCTGGAATCCAGGGTTTGCATAATAACGCAGAAATACTTTCATTTTATACACAGGTGACAGGGCTGCTCCACGAGTTTCGGGATCTGCGCCAAGAAAGTGCTCCGCCAACCACACCACATTCTCCTCAAATCCAAATAACGTTTTGAAATCTGATTCACGTGGCGTACGTCTTGGTTTGTAGTATTTTCTGGTACGTAAATGTACCATATTAGCCATAACAAACACAACTCTGGGACCACACAAACAAAGATCACTTAGACAAGACTTTCCAGATAGATTTTAACACACGAATACACAACTTTTTATGTTACTTGCTGTATGATGGCTGGGCAACTACTGAAAAGAGTAATAAAAGTTGATGCGAACCTAGATTCCTTTTTTAGAAGCAAATCCTTTAGTTTTTGAGCAAATGCTTCTTTTTATAAATACGAAAAACGTAAAACCTTTTACTTTAAAGCAAACCCTCGAAGCAAAACCTTTTCCTTCACTTTTTTTTATACATATACCTTGAAGGAATTGCTTTAATTTTTAAAAGCAAAAGGTAAGGATTCTTTTTATAAATACGGGCCAATAAGGCCTGTATATTTGATTTTGCTGAGTCTGTATACACATATACATATTAGCATCTTTATCTTTGTCGTGTATAAGCAGGCAGGGTTAGGTTTGGCACATACCACTGCGGCTTCTTGGGTCTATTGTATTCTCCTGCTTTCCCCGTATTCAGGTACTATCGTTGGAATAGTCCTGTGCCTTTGGTAAGTTTTACTAGGTTCTTGGGGCGTTTTTTCTGGTTTTAGACCGAAAAGAATAAATAGCCGCCTAGCGGGAGCTTCGCATTCCAAGATAACATGATACGAGGTCTCTTCCTCTTCCATGCAGTCTACACGTGGTAGAATCATTGTGTAGTCCCATCACATGAAGGTGTTTTAGCAAGCAGTGCTCCGTTAGTCATCCCACGACGGTTAATATCTGAGGCCTTGCAAGCTGTAGTACCTCAACGGCCATGCGTGGGTTTAGTCCCATTAGCATGAAGCTAGCTGCTTCTGTGTCCTCTTATCTGTTGTCAGCGTATTTGGTGTTTAGTGAATATCCATCCAAATACAGGTTCGGGTTCTGTAAATGGTAGATCTGATTCCTCTTTGGCGAGTACGTCAGCTTTTTCATTTCCTTGGTACCTTGGTGTCCCGGTACCCACGCTAGTTTTAGATTGTTGCGGGTTGCAAGATTATTAAGTATTCCAAGGCAGTTCCAGACCAGCAAAATAGATATTAAAAAATCGTTTAATTATAGTAACTTTGGATTAATATTTTCAAAAAACTGGTCATAGAATTAAAACAAAATTTTGCTCAGTTAAATACTGAACTTTTCTTAATTTAAAAATGTATTAATTTACAAAGTTGACGGAGAAAATTTTAAAATACAGGGTGTTGCACAAAAAACTACTTTGCCAATTTTTAAAGTTTCTGCAATCGGTTTAACACCATGTATGACATAGGGTGACAGGTCGTACATGTACTTAATGTAATAAAGAAAATTCAGGATACATCGTTTATACAGGGTGACTCGTTAAAGCTGAAAAACAATATATACCCTCTGTAATCATATTTATGAGTCACCCTGTATAAAATGGGATTTATTAACCAGAAGCAATTACTTGCACTATATATGCATTGTGAAATTATATTTTTTCGTTTATTTAACGCTGTCATAAAAAAAAAGATTTAAGAAAAAAACTATATTACTTATTTCCGAACTACCCTGTAATTAACCAATTTCCACAGTAACTTACTTTAAGAAATTAATGGTAAATAATCTATAAATCATGTTTTCTACAAAAAGCGCGAATAAAATAGGTCATTTATGAGAAATCTGGTTAAAAAAAGTGGCATTTTTGAAGTTTAACACCCTGTAACTCGAAAACTAGTCATAGGATCGGTTTGGGCCAATGGACACTTTTTGTCAGAGCATCGAGTTCTACAACATATCAACGTTTCAGAAAATTTGACGGAAAGCCATTTTTCCATAAGAAAGGTGCCTGGTCCTTTGTATTTGCAAGGGCGTGCAAAACGGTGGGTGCTCAAGAAGTTGTTTACCATTAACTGATCTGTTTAGTATGTTCGGTACCCCGAAAAGAATAATCTCAGGTAGGGGAAGGCTTTTACTAGTACTAAATTTAAATCGTTTACAACAGCAATCAAGTTAAACACATTCTAAATGCGGTTTCATCTCCAAGATCGAATGGGCAAGTAGAAAGGTATAATAGAACCATGTAACAAAGTTACTTTTTTTTAATATTTAAGACAGAATTCGTCGGAAAACCAAAATAAATATTTTTATTTATGTTTTTTTAATAATTACCATTGACCCTTAATGTCAAATATTTGTATTTATATTTTTTTTAAAATTATCATTGACCCTTAATGTCAAAAATTCCGAGTCTTCAAACGTTTACTGTGTATGATCCCGTCCATTCCATCAAATTTTTTTATCAGTAAGCCGACGGTAGCTTCGTTTCCCCAGTTCTAACTAATAACCGAATTTGTGTACGACACGTCGCTTATCGGACAATAAAACGCGATACGCTGGACAGAACTTACTCTCTCTCGATCTTTCCTTGACCGATCACGCTATGAGTAGTAGCTAGTCCCGACAACTGATAAGATACCCGTTTCTTCGCCGCTAGACGTACCAATATAAACAACTTTTTTTTTATAAAAAGGCATTTTTCCTTTGGTTGCTTTTAAAATTTAAAACCGGAATTAACGTGGAATCGTGATTAGTACTGTTTCAATCATTGTTTCCGAGTTATATGTTTTATAATTAATTTTCTTTTCTCGTGCTTATAAAATAAACGCTAGCGTTGGTACTGTTTCAATCGTTTTTCCCGAACTGAATATTTTATTTTAATAATTAATTTTCTTTTCTTGTGCCTATAAATAAAATACAGGGCTACTATAACAGAATCATCGGGTTTGACAAAGCTATAATTCGGAAAGTATGATAGATACAATAATAAATGGCATGTCTATAGGCAACAGCACCCTCTACGTTTACAACGCGCGCCTGCGGAGGCAGCTGTTCATGCGCACGAAACGTCACGTCAGCTGTAATGAACATGGCGACTATGCAGCAGAAAGCATTCTGTGTGTTAGAATACGCGTGATGTTTATCGGTTGTGACAGTGCAACGTGCATTCCGACGGGAATACGAAATTGCTCCTCCAGGTCATCAGAGCATTCTACGATGGTATCGAAACTTCTAGACTACAGGTGTACTTGAGAAACCTAAAAGCACCGGACGACCACGAGTGTCCGACGCAACAGTGGATGCGGTTAGACAATGTTTTGTGCAGTCGCCACAACAATCCACTAGTCAAGCAGGCCGTGCACTTTATATGCCGCAGCAAACTGTGTGGAAAGTTTTGCGGAAACGATTGCGATTCAAACCGTACCGTATACATCTGTTGCAAAAGTTAAGACCAAATGACTGTGTCAAGCGACTACAGTTCTGTAATGACATGCAGGAAGCCATAGAGGGTGACGGATTCGCTAACCGTCTGGTGTTTAGCGACGAAACGACATTTTATTTAAGTGGCAAGGTGAACCGTCACAATATTCGGATATGGGGCACCGAAAATCCTCATGCAACTGTCCAACATGAAAGGGATTCTCCAAAATTGAATGTTTTTGGTACAGCACAAAAGTGTATGGACCGTTTTTCTTTAATGAAAACACTGTGACCGGTGTTTCGTACCTCGATATGTTGCAACTGTGGTTAATGCCGCAACTGACGGCTGAATCCAACAACTTTATATACCGACAAGATGGCGCTCCACCTCACTGGCATAATGACGTGCGTGGGTATCTAAACGAGGAACTCCCTCATCGTTGGATAGGCCGTTGTGCGGAACACGATTTGGCAATGCTTGCGTGGCCTCCCAACTCTCCTGATCTTACACCGTGCGATTTTTATTTTTAGGGGTACATTAAAGACACGGTGTTCGTACCACCTCTACCTGCAACACTGGCGGAGCTCAGAAGACGCATTACCGCTGCTGTCAACAGTATCGACCGCGATACATTGCAGAGTGTGTGGACTGAACTAGACTATCGTTTGGACATCTGTCGTGTGACTCGAGGAGCCCACATTGAACATTTGTAACGCGCTAAAAATGTAATGTTTTCTCTGTCTACCGACATACCCTTTATTATTGTACCCATCATACTTTCCAAAATATAGCTTTGTCAAACCCGATGATTCTTTTATAGTAACCCTATATTAATGAATCAAATGGATTATTAAATTAACTGTTACCAGAGTCGGGTTAATGGATTTATTTTACTTTAAACTAGTTATAGGGTGGTCCTCGATATTATTTTATTACCGAATTAATAATTTCCCTTGTTTATTGAATTTTTTTTGGGGTTTAAAAATTTTTTTTGGGGTTTAAAAATTTTCTTTTGGAATTTCAAGGCCGTGTTCGTGTTATTTTATTTTATTAAATAACATCTAGATCTGGTGAATAGCCTATATGTGCTGTTTCCATAAGGATATTGCCAGTTGTTTAGGTGTTGGCCGTGGAAACCAGTAGATATACTATACGGGTATCACTACCAGCATAGGGAAATCAATGTGTTAGAGATAGTGGTGGAGAACTATCGATAGCACTATCGATATTATCGATAGTTTCAACTATCGAATACTATCGATAGTATTTTCTACACTATCGATTGTTTCCGATAATCTTGTGGTGGGCACCCATCTCTATTCAATCAATCTAACCTCACTTTTTTCAACTTGCAAAAAAGTTGATTGATAAAAGGATTTTTAGATTATTGTGTTTACTGAATCATAAGTTTTAACTTTCAAGTGCAAAACTGTCACGTGTGACTATGGAGAATTTTTTGAGTATTTCCCGCAAGGATTCTTCATCTAAACGGAACAGAAATAGTGGTAAGTAGGTTAGGTACAACCCCGAAAAAATTCAATTGAAAATCCACCTTTATGGTAGTAGAGTAGTAGTAGTCATTAGCCATTAATATTATCTTTCCAGATTAGAATTTCGTCTAATATGTTTTGAAATTAATGTTAAAGGCTTGATTAGTTTAACATTAAGTAAACCTAACCTAATACTAATATTTAATAATTCACAAATTTACATCATGATCATGACACTTTTATTTTAGGAGAATCCACTAATAGTGAGCCAGAGCATCATCAAAGAACTCCAGCTGAGACAGTTCAGACTCAAGCTGAAGTAGTCGAAGCACAAGCCGAAAATACTGTGGATACCCTTCAAGCTGGCCAAGGTGCCAAAACCAATGTCGGTACAAAAGATGGAAGACCTAAAAGGCCAAAACTGTCAAGGGTGTGGAATTTTTTTAAATCGTCCCATGACAAAATGTATGCTAAATGTTTAAATTGTGGAAAAGAGTACAAAACAAGCGGCAATACGACAAATCTAAGTGACCATTTAAAAAGATTTCATCCCAACCTAGTAAATAATGTAGTAGACATAGACAGGGAATCTGCTGAAAACAATAGTGGGTCTACATCCACTTCTGGAGGTTCCAGTACTCGTTCTTCTTACAGGTCAATAAGTCCTTTCTTCAAGCGAGAAAATGAATACAGCGAAAGCTCGAAACGAAAAAAACAACTCGACAAGGCACTAACATTAATGATTGCCACCGATTTGCAACCATTCAACATAGTGAATGACACTGGCTTCACGAATTTTGTTAGTTTGCTAGATCCTAGATATATCCTGCCAAGTAAATTCAAAATTAGGGAAAAAATAATGAAGGAAATGTACAGTGATACTTGTCAGAAACTGAAAGAAATTTTGAAAAATGTGAATTATGTCGCTATCACTTTTGACTCTTTGACATCACGGGCAACTGAATCATATTTGACTGTAACGTGCCATTTTGTTACCAATGATTTCGAAATAAAGTCTTCAGTGCTTTCGACAAAACCATTGGAAAATGGTATTAACCATACTGCAGAAAATATTGCATTTGCATTAAATGCAATTTTTATTGAGTGGGATATACAAAATGAAATATCGTGCATTGTAACAGACAATGCTGCAAACATGTTAAAGGTCTGTGAACTTTTGAAAAAAAAAAGTCTTCCCTGCTTTGCCCATACAGTTAATTTAGTGGTCCAAGACACTACCAGTATAAGTCCCCTCAAGGATATTATAGCAAAATGCAAAGAGATAGTGAGGTTCATGAAAAGCAGCAATGTTGCCACAGAAATATTCAAACAGGAGCAGAATACCGACACTCCTCTTAAGCTAATGCAGGAGGTGACCACCCGCTGGAATAGCGCCTTTCAAATGATAAAAAGAATTCTGGAAACAAGCGACCCTCTCAACAGAACACTGCTGAAAATGCCTAAAGCTCCTCAACCTCTGGCTGCAGAAGAAATAATAATTTTGAAAGAAGTTGTTGGTATTTTGGCATGTTTCGACGAGGCGACAACAAAAGTTTCAGGCACTAAATATGTAACAATTTCGCTTGTTATTCCAATTATTAATGGAATCCACAAAACATTGCAAGACAAAATACGAGAATTGCAAACCGATGAAGGAAAAGAAATTTGTTTGAAATTGCTGCACTCTGTACAAAAGCGTTTGTTTCCATACGAGAAAAGAACAGCTGTTCAAATGGCAACATTACTTGACCCTAGATTTAAACATGATGGTTTTAGAAGTGAGGAAAATATCAAATCGGCATCACATTTTTTGGAACAGGAAATTAACTATGTGGAAAGAAAGGAGGCAGAACTTACGGGAAATTCAAATATTCCATTCAATGGAGAAGATACTATCCAAGGTAGCAGTTCAAATTTTTCAGGTTCAGGCTCTCTGTTCTCATTTATGGATACTAAAATTCAACAGAAAATAAAATCGACAACAGTTGATGTAATCATAATCAAACGACAATACATGGAACGTCAGAATTCATCTCTAGATACAGAACCACTTCTATTTTGGAAGGTATTGCTATTGGCCTAAAATTCATTTTCGCATATTTAACTTCCGCTATTTCAGGTAAACGCCAATGATTTCAGATCTCTAAAACAACTCGCCCAGAAATATCTTTGCATTCCAGCGTCATCAGTAGAATCTGAACGGGTATTCAGCAAGACAGGACAAATAGTCACGGACAGAAGATCGAGGTTAAAACCAAAAAATGTCGACATGTTGGTTTTTATAAATAAAAACAACTGGTTAGTTGAAAAATAAACCGATAATAAATAATTATTTTATTCTAAGTACTCAAAAATAAAAAATGGATAAAATAAAAAAAAAATGTTTAATAATAACGGTTTTTTATAAAATGTTAAGATGTATTACTATACTTAGTTTGTTCATTACCTTCGAAATTAAAATCTTAAATTCAAATGGTCTTTTATTTTTATGTTGATTGATAGTGTATGACAATAATTAGTAGTTTCATCTAAGGTAGTTCCACTTTTTTTCCAAATATCGAAAACTATCGATAGTATCGATAGTTAATACGAAAACTATCGATGGTGCCTACTATCGATAGTTATCCACCACTAGTTAGAGAGAGAGGTACCTATAGGTATGGGAAATCAATGTGTTAGAGAGAGGGGAACGATTCGCGCGGACTTGGTGAGGCATAGTGGGATCGCATGGTTCGTGCCAGGCGCCCCGCACCCCCGCCCCCGCGGTCAGCGACCCCCGCCCCCGCCCTGGAGCATGTGATACCTCGTTGAAAAGGTATTTATGTGTAGATTACAGAAAAGTGGAATTCTCAAAATTATTTTATTTCTACAACACATTTTTTATAATAAAATATAATTTTTTTAATTATCTACAGATATAATTTTAGATAACAGAGTTTTTAATTGTTGCAAAATATTTTCGTTTGGACAAGGTACTCCAAATAGATTCCAATGAAATGCTCCTGCCGCAACAACTCTTCTTGTAAACTCACTAAATTTGTAGTAACTGCTCTGTTGGAAAAAGTAAATATGCCCATCGATCCATCGAAATGCGGAAGAAATATCTTCAGGTATTCCAGGAAATACGTCTCTTATTCGTCCTCTGTTTAATATGATAGTAAAATCATTAGAAAACTCTATATACGACTTATTATTGTACAAGACATAGGACCGACATGAATTTGATTGGAAAATAGCATTTATATGAGTGTTTTTAGGCATATTAATTAAAAAATTATCTAATACTTGAACAGCAGGAAATGATACTGAGAAATATTTATTTGGGGGCACAATAGTAACCAAGTCGCCGATTGTAGTTTGAAAAATGTGATGTAAGGTATATTGACGTAGATCTTCGGGAATATAATCAACAAGAAGTTCCGGCTGAGATGGGATAATCATTTCGTTCAAATCGAATTTCCATATAAATGAATCATGGGCAATGTATAAGCGGTAATTTGAAAAGTCTGATGCAATTGCTAAAAACATAAAATCTGGGACAATATCACACACATTTTTCGTTGTTATTGAATGCTTAGTTGAAAATGGTTTTGTTGTAGTTGGAATTTTCCTCGTAAACGGTGCTGTAGTAGAGTTCTTAGAAGTTATCGGATGAATCGTCGTAGCCGGTGCTGTAGTAGAGTCTCTAGAAGTTATCGGACGAATCGACGTAGACGTCGATATTGGAACATACTTTTTCTTGAATCCATAGAGATATTGAATTGCCATTATATCATCAGTATGCAGACTGTGGATCACATCTTGATATGTCCCATACATAATAGCGTTTTGATTATCACTAAGTCCAATTCCTAGAGCATGTCCAATTTCATGAACTAATACCATAAGAAAACTGATGGAACCGTCAGGAATATTATTTCTCTCTCCAAAATACCAATGTTCCTCTATATCTAAATGGATTTCTCTACAAATACCCCTTTGTGGGAAAAATGAATGCCCTAAGACGCCATGAGGTCCGTCAAGGGGCAACGTGTATACATCATTACCCATACAATTTGTTCTAAAATAATGAGTTTTGCGAACCATAGTTATAGTAATATCAGGAGGTGTTATACTAGGGATAGTAACCATTTCAAACGTTAATGTTGAAGTATTTTGCCACATTTGGAAAGCCGTTTGTGCATCGGTCCGAGCTGCAGGTGTTGCTTGAGGAAAATACCATCGTAGATGGTGTTTTTGCCATGGAGAACCCACCGTAAATTCTGTATCGCCATGCTGACAATGTGGTCGTCGCATAAATTTGATTGTTGAATTATTTAAAAGTCCATCTACAGGTAAATTATATTTTTCTTGAAAATTAATCAGGAAGGTGAAGATATCACTAGTATTAACAACAACATTTTCATATTGATTTAGGTATGCAATAGCATCTTTTTCGGAGAAATCTGTACACTGTACATACGTAAAAGTGAACACTACAATAACTAATACGTCTACCTTGATCGACATTTTGACAGATAATAAAGTTGATATAGTAAATACCGAATACATAAACCTCGAAATTTAGCCCTATTCAGTTTTAGCAAAAATACATAAGCCTCGAAATTTACTCCTATTCAGTTTTAGGGAAAAAAAAATCACATAAACGTTCCTAATTTTTCATACACTTTGTATGTATAGAAAATATTATTTTGCATGTAATTGGAATTTCCGGAAAGACAAATGTTCACACAACTAATTTTAAACACTTCGTTGCAATTGAAATTTCTAGAATAGATGCATATGTTAGATTACTAATCACATACAAAAATACCAGGAATTCTGAATAAAGATTAAGTTAATTGCAGCAATGGTATTTCCGGAGGGGAGTCCCTATTCCAAATGGTGTATATCAATTATAAAAATACTACGAATTGTGAATAACGATTAATTTAACTGCAATTGCAATGGTATTTCCGGAGAGTCCCCAACCGAGAAACGCGCTGCATTGACGTAATATCGGTAGCTTATAAGCGAACATACATGGGAGGCATTTCACATTCGACACTCAGGTTCATAACGCGACGCTCGACAGTGCTGTTAATTGTGTTTCTCCTATAAAAATAAATGTAAGTAATTTTTATTTTTAAAAATCATTTTCTATCCAATTTAGTTTAGTTTTTTCTTTTTTCATGACCATAGATTAATATTCGTTTTGAAATTTTTGATGTATACTATTTTGATGAGTTGATAAATGGTTTTGTTTTTCATGGCCACAATTTTTATTCGTTTTTCTAGTGATAGTAAATTGAAACAAGTAGTTGCAAGTAGATATTTAGAATTTTTTTTTTCTTTATAGATGAATCTAATCGAATTAAACAACGTATCTCTTATAGAAAGGAAAGAGACGATAAAAATTTCAGAGTTGCCCCTAAATGAGCCGGTCAAAATCAGCAAAGCCAAAATCGTAAATACCAAGTACGGAGACGCCGTTCTGTTGGAGTTAGAGGATAAAGCAGTATTCCTACCCCAAAGAGTTACAGAAACGTATAGGCCATACTTGGACGAATTCGCCAGCCAACACTACAGCATCATTTACAGAGGAGAAATCGCCGTAGGAAAACCGAGTCCACTTGCTTCCTTTCAAATTATCGAGCATTAGGTGTAAATAAGAAAACAGAGAGGGGTAAGCATTTTTTTTTGTTATTCTTTTTTTATTCAAGTCACAAAAAATGTCGAGTGTGATTAAACGTTCTGATAAAGTGCTGGTAGCGATTAGAATATTACGCAAAATTATTTTTGATAAATTTACTGCTAGATATGCTGAGATCTGGTTAAAACTTTAAAATAAACAAGTTAAAGCCTGTAATAAGTGCATTAAAGATAAAAACTTATCCATTGGTGTAAGAAGGAAATTACAAACAAACATTGGGCATTTCAAACATTTTCGTAAATTAATTTTAAATAGACATATGGGGTTAGGACTAAATTCCAAATTACATAATAGGGTTAAATGGGAAAACGTTACCTCGAGTTTTGCTAGTAGACTTAGGACTGGGATTATTGTAAATTTACGTCATAAGGATTTGGGCAAATTTTTGGATGACGCTTACCTAGTTTGTAAACAAAAAATTAAAGCATGCCTCAGTTCATTTCATTCTATAAAAGTAAATACTAATTTTTGTGGAGAATTTATAAGAAAGTGTGGGGATGAAGAAGTGTTGGATTTTCATTATTTTAATGCAAAGAATGTTCTTATAGACCAGTATACCGATTTACTTAGTTGGTTTGTTGATAATGTTAGAGAAAAAATTTTGTCAAAATTATGCGATTTTCAAGAAAGGAATTCTGGAGCTGCTTTATCTAAAATTATATCATTAGAGATCAATATTAATAAATTTGAAATAGGCAATGGCTCGTCTTACATTAAACTACCGGAACCAATTCAGAAAAAACGGGCGTGTATTAACGTAAAAAATAGGGATCAAAACTGCTTCTATTGGGCAATTGTAAGCGCCCTTTGGCCTGCACGTACACATAAAGAGCAAACATACTCATATCCATATTATAGTACAGTTCTGAAAACCGAGGACTTGGAAGCTCCAATGTCTTTACATAAAATTGAAAAATTTGAAAAAATTAAATAATATTTCTGTCAATGTTTATGCATTAGAAATGAATTTAGAGAGAGAAAAAACATTTTACGTAGTAGTACCAGCTAGGCTTACCAATATTAAACGAGAACAACACGTAAATTTACTTCTAATTCAAAATAAATATTATCCAAACTTAAATGATTATGAAGCCCCACCAGCAGATGGTGGTGGTGATCAATCTGAGGATGAAATCAAATTTCATTACGTTTGGATTAAAGATTTATCAGGATTACTCTGTAATCAGTTAAATAAAACTAAATGTAAATTATATTTTTGCGATCGATGTTTAAATTATTTTTATAACAAAGATAAGTTAGCTACACACGAAGAAAATTGTTCTGATTTAAATAAATGTAAAATATCGTTTCCTGAATATGACCATGTTGAATTTAGAGATTTTTCATATAAACAAACTACTCCTTTCGTACTTTATGCTGATTTTGAATGCCAGTTAGAAAATTTTGCAGAGTCTTCTCTTAAAATTACTAAAACAACTAAATATCAAAAACATGTGCCGTATAGTGCTGGGTACTATTTAAAATGTTCATATGACGATAACATTTCGTACTTTAGGAGCTACCAAGGAACCGATTGCATGGATTGGTTTGCAAATGAAATGGTTGAAGTGTCTAGACTTGTTAATTCGATATTAAAAAAACAAAATGTTCCTATGAGTGAAAAACCTGACACATGTGGAGCGTCAATCTGTCACATATGTGAAAAGTGCTTTCTGCCCACAGATATAATTGTAAGAGACCACAACCACTTCACAGGCCAGTTTAGAGGTTTCGCGCATAAAAGTTGCAATCTAAATTTCAGAAAATTGTTTGTTATTCCAGTCGTGTTTCACAATTTAAGTGGATACGATAGTCATTTTATGATTAGGGATTTATGTAAAAAAGGACGTTTGAGCGTACTTCCCATTAATAAAGAAAAATATATTTCTTTTACTTTGTATTCAGATGAAAATGATATTAAATTAAGATTTATAGATTCGTTTAAATTTATGGGAGCTTCACTCGACGAATTATCCTCCATTTTAGATATTCGAGGTGGAATATCTGTATGTAGCAACCGATTTTCGGAAGCTAATAATAAGTATATGACCAAGTATGCTCCAACGAAGCCATCAAAGTACCTAATGTACCTAGATGTGAACAACCTTTACGGGTGGGCAATGAGTGAACCCATGCCCTATAAAGGTTTCGAGTGGGCAAATGCCAATAAATTTGGTGTTGCCCGATCTGACTCTCCTAAAGAGTACATTGATATTATGTCCATACCAGATAATGCATCTGAGGGTTATATTTTTCAAGTTGATTTAGAATATCCACGTGAATTGCATGATATACATAAAGATTTTCCTTTTGCTGCCGAACACCGCATTCCGCCTAGCTCAAAATTACCCAAATTAATGACTACTCTTTATCGTAAAGAAAAATACATTATGCATTATAGAAATTTAAAACAAGCTTTAAATAACGGATTAAAATTAGTCAAAATACATAAAGTGTTGCAGTTTAAACAATCAGCGTGGCTGAAACCCTACATCGAGTTAAATACTCGATTGAGGACGGCAGCTACAAATGATTTTGAGAAAAACCTTTTTAAACTGATGAATAATGCGGTGTTTGGTAAGACAATGGAGAACATAAGACGTCACAGAACGGTAAAATTGGTGAGGCAGTGGGAAGGACGCTATGGGGCCAAAAACTTGATTGCAAGTGTTCGGTTCCATAGTCGAACAATTTTAGACGAAAATCTCGTAGCTATTGAACTAAAGAAAATCAAGGTTGTATTTAATAAGCCTTTGTATATTGGCATGGCAATTTTAGACATTTCTAAGGTATGCATGTACGATTTTCATTATGGCCACATGTTACCGAAAATGGGCACCGATCGATGTAACTTAATGTATATGGATACCGATAGTTTTGTGTATGAGATGCAATGCGATGATGCATATAATGATGTTATTAGAGCAGATTTATCCAAATTTGATACGTCAGATTATGCTGAAAACAACCCATATAACATACCGCGTTTAAATAAAAAAGTAATTGGTTTAATGAAAGACGAGACAAAAGGGGTAATTATAACCCATTTTGTGGGGCTAAGGTCAAAAATGTACACATACAAGTTGCAAATAAGTAATGGGGATAAGGAAAAGGAAAAGCTGCGCCTAGAACATAAGCAAGTTAATAAAGACAAAATTAGTTGTGATTTAAAAAATCTAGGTGTAATAAAAAAGTCTAAAGGAGTAAAATATAATATTGTAAAAAATAAAATTACATATGATTATGAAAAGTGCTTAAAAGATTTCCAGGTGCAATCAGCAAGCCAACGCTGTATTCAGTCATATGCACACAAAGTATTTAGCATAGAGCAGAAAAAAATTAGCTTAAGTCCGCATGACGATAAACGTCATTTAATACCGGGAACATTTGACACGCTTCCTTGGGGTCACTATAGTATAATATAATATTTTTTTTTCTTTTTTTATAGGATATGGAGAACCATAGATCTGTTACTCCAGAATTACAGGTAGATTGTGAAGGTAAAATAGGTTTCAAAGTTCCTACGTTACAATCACTAGCAGCAAATCACATATATTGGATTATTAGAGATGCTTCCAGAATAACCGTCATTGATGGGAAATATAAAATGATTCGACAACTAATAGATTTAGAGATTTGGTATAGCAAAAATGGTCTAACATGTTATTTCGTACTACCAGCAATATTAAAAGATGAATTGCCAATCGGTTGTATTAGAGAAATAAAAAAACAGATAGTCAAAAATCATAGTTTGAGTGATACTGTGTTTTTAAATGCAAAACATAAACGTACAATTCAGGCGCACAAATTATATAAAAAGTAATTAATGACTTTAATAAAAAAAGAAAAAACAAAAATCTCTTATCCTCTCTTTGTTATTATATTGTATTTTGCTAATTTTTGTATCCTACGTTATTTTTTTTTTATATTGTAAAAGATTTTGCTAATTTTTACCTTTTGTAGCACACTTAACCCAATTTTGTATATATTTTTAAGATTTTTGCTAATTTTTACCTTTTGTAGCATACTTAACCCAATTTTGTATATATTATATCTTTAATAAAAAAGTATGAAAACAAATCTCGTTCTTTTTTCTTCTTTTCCGTAAAAGTGTCGTTTTTAACGAAAAACCGTCGTTTTTCGTCGTTTTTGTCGTTTTCAACGTTTTCGTCGTTTTTCAACGTTTTCGTCGTTTTTAACGTAAAAGCGTCGTTTTTCAACGTTTTCGTCGTTTTTCAACGTTTTCGTCGTTTTTCAACGTTTTCGTCGTTTTTAACGTAAAAGCTTCGTTTTTACATGAAAAACGCTGTTTAAAAACACACCTCACTCTGTGGTGGTAGATAACATTGACAAATGACGTAAAACAACATCAAATAATACGTCTTTTGTACTCATTTAGCAAAAGTGGAGACAGTCGAATGGGTAAAGGCATTGAAAATCATAAGCTTATGATTTTCAACGCCTTTAACCATTCGGCTGTCTCCACTTTTTCTTTTTACGAAAATAAAACTCAAGAAATTTTACAAAGCATATTTTATTAAATTCTATCAAAGTCATTGACAATTTTATATTTATAATAGTTTATGAAATGTCCCAGTGCAATATTTTTCAAGTTACAATCCAAGTTCTTAAATACATGCATTTTATGAAAAGCATCTGAGAACTCATAAGTATCATTAGTAAAACTAGCTCGAACACTCTTAAGCAAATTATAATAATAATTGGGAAATTCAACTTTTTCTAACATTGAGATATATGACACTAAAAGTTCATTATTTATATGTAAGAGGTTCATCACGTCCGCTTGTGATAGGAAAAAACTCAAGTTGTGCTTGGTAACTTTGATAAATTTCGTGCTATCGTAGATTACATGTTGAAGCTTGCAGTAGTCACCACATTTGATTTCCACATCGTCAGGACGGTCCACAATCTCATTGAAAAAATTGCTATCTCGAAGATGGGTAATTAATTGTTCCCACTCATATGAGCTAAAAGATACTTTTTCCCACTGGTCTTTGTGTATGACAACAGCTGGAGTAAATGATCGTGCTGGACTTAGACCACACCCAATTTGACCGATATCATGTGGAAATTGTGTGTAGAGCAAATAATACTCTTCGTTTTTAGATGCTTCTTCGTACCTCTCCAAGAGTGAGTCTATTTCATGATCATAGTCTTCAGACACTATCGATGGTGATAACGGTTCCGGTGGTGATGGAGTTATGGGAACATCAAACTCACTATCTTCAGAACCATAACCATTATCTTGAGAATACATTGTGTGAAAAACTAGGAGAACTGATTGTTGTACAACAACTGAGACTCAGGTGCTTGAGTTTCCCTAATTTATATCTTCGTACCCCCACCATTCATGAAGCACTATGATGATATTAAACTACATCATCATTTTCAATCCAACTATTATGTTTTTTATCAAAACCAAGCCATTTAACGTACATTTTAGTACCTTTTCGACGCAACACTTTTTCCACCAAATAAACGTCGGGATTCGCAGTTTTCTGTAATTCCTCATCGTAAAAAGCTCCTTTGATTGGTGAGCCATACATATCTTCAAGCATATACGTTGCAGGGTTGGTAACTTTAAATAATTCAGTCGTCCAGCTGGGGACGTATCCTTTCTGGAAAAGCATTTTTGCGCGGCTGATACGTACAGTGTCACCAACTTTAAATTTTCGTGGACCAGCAATTTTCAGATGTGAATATTTTCGATTTAAAATATCTTTTTCGTTGGATCTATTTACTTGTGAAGGTCAACATCCGATGGTTTGATGACGTGTTTCATTATATTCGGAAGTAATGGTGGGTAATATATCAATCCATTTATATGAGCCTTTTAAACTAAAGTATTTGTAAAGTTTATTTTTCAGCGTTCTTATGACTCTCTCAGCAATAGCAGCTTTTTTGGTGCTGTACGTACTATAATGATTAATATTATGTTGTTTCATTAAACTTTGAAATTTGTTGTTGTAAAATTCCGTTCCTTGATCGGATTGTAGATTTTTCGGTGTACGTTTAGTGTGTGCGAGAATATCTGAAAATGTACGAGTAAGCTCCTCTCCCGTCTTTGTCTTTAATGGTCGAGTCCACATAAACTTTGAAAAGCAATCGATAACAACTAAAATTAATTTAAAATTTTTATTTTGATGGGCGTAAGGACGCATTTCAGCCAAATCCATTTGCCATAAATCATCCAAGCCTTTAATAATGGTGCGACGACGAGGATAATTTTTTCTAGCCTGTTTGTGCAGCTCGTTAACGAGTTGAATCTTTTCTGTAGATGCCATGAAATCGTTCTAGCACTTTAATTCTTTGAAGTAAAGGTTGTAAATAAGTGTTAAATATAGCGAATAATTCTTGGTTTTCTTGTATTGCTGTAGATAGACGATCATCTACCTCGTACAAAGTCTTTGACAACTCTGATACTCGGCTATCTAATAAAGATCTCATATGCGATTCAAATCGAATACTTTTCTGCAATTGCTGCACGTCATGCATCCTATTACCATTTATTTTTTTCTTAAAATTATCGAGATTTACCTGCAACTCGTTTCGCAGTTTCTCACATACATGATATTTTTTATTTACAATGTGCTTAGCTGACATCTTCACTCGAAATGCCACGTTTGCCTTCTAATGCTTCAACGCGTTTGACCATAGGATTTATAGTGTTCTTAGTAACCCTGTCTAGTTCATCACTTAAACGCTTATCAAGGTCATAGACTTTCTTTGATACGGTTGATATTCTTCCTTCCAAAAGCGCCAATTGTGAAGATACATCACGAATATTTCTATGTATTGGAGTCAAGTCTTGTTGTATTGCAGATTTGATGTTATCCAATTCTACCGTCACAGTATTTATATTTTTAGCTGCATCAGTACTACTTTTCTTCATGTTTTTTCGAAGAAACGTTTTTGCATTTACAATAGCTTCATCTACATACTTTTTTGTTGCCATGTGTTTACCTGCAATAGGAGGGTCTCTCGATATAAACTCAGCTATTTCACGAGTTTCTGCTGGTAAGGTTTTAAATTCGATAACCGAAGTATCTATGTATTTCTTAGTAGCAGCGTCCGAATCACCTGTTGGTTCTTTTATGTTGCATAACTTTACGTTTTTAAAGTCAATATTTCCATCGGAAGTATGAGGAAGAGTATTTCCCGCTTGTTTCGAAGCAACTAACAACTTTAATCTATCGACCAATTCATTCGGATCGTCCCAATAGACGTATTCTATAGGTTTTTCATTATAAATTAAATCAAGGTTTTGTGTTGGCAATGATTTGAGTTTTGATAATCCTGCACCTTCTCGGGAACTAAACAGAGGTCGGATTATTTGCATATACTTTGATCTTTGTGTACCTTTTAAATGTCCTAAAGCATTTCGATGAACATTTGTCGTTTCCAAAATGGTTTTGTATGCCTTTAAGTCATCAGGAGTATACACAGGTTTATCGTAAAAAATTAATTGATACAAGCCAGGAGTCCCCGGTGTCAAATACAACTGATTGCCGCCACTAAGTAATTTTATGTTTCCAGTTTTGGACTCAAATTCCATACGCTTGTTTCCCAGAAACCACCAGTCATTGTCTTCATCATATACTGGACCGTATACTTGATCGATTTTGTCATCGTTTTGCCAGTAGTCTTGAACAACGGGTAGGCTCATTGGAGGATATTGTTCCAGATATTGTGCAACTACTTGTGGAGCTAATGATTGATCAGAAGTCGGTGAAATTTCATCATCATTTTCACTAAATTCTTCGGGGTTGTCTTCAGTAGCAGCAACCTCTTCCAACGAAATGAAATTAGGTTTGACGGGAGATGAGGTTTTTGGCGGATTAAACTGTGTACTGCCATACGTTTCATTGTGGTCAACTTTCGGTTCCTCTTTTTTGGCAGAGTAATTTGTTGAGGTTTTTACAATTTCTTGAAGGGGTTCAGATATCGGTTTGAAAAGTTTCTTAATAGACTCATCTTGTTCGCTCCTACCTAATTTTAAGGTTAGGTACTTTTTACGTATAGATCGAGCAAGTTCTGCAATCTTTCGCTTATGCGTAGCAACAGCAATGTGGTTCTTTGACAACATGATACCAAATGACAATATATGAGCTACTCCTACAATTTTATGTACTTATCAAAGCCTACTCTGTATCGACCGCGATTAAGAGAACAGTCTTTGACAATAACTAAAGTACCATAGTTTTCAGCCCAACACTCTGAACACATTTTCTTGAATTCTTCAAAGGTAACATCTGGAGATACATGCTCATCAAATATGTGTTTTAGGTTAACTTCATCCTGTTTGAATAGTACAATGATGTTGCAGTTATCTCGAATTAGCTGTTTTGGAATTTTGGAGTACGTTTGACAGAGATAAGCAGCATCGATATCTTTATGACGACACATTGAGTAATATTCACGAATTTTCTGCTGTCCATCGCAAGCCACATCATCAAATATGAATACCGAGTTATTTTTAGCCTTACTAGGACTTATGATTTCTTCGTTGTCTTTAAATGGGAAATAACCAATGCCCTTAGTGTGTTTAATCACCTCTTGAAGTAGTTGATACTTTGGTTGGTATAACGACTTTGAGTAAACGTAGACATTTTTGAATTTAGCACCATTTGGATCGAAAAGCAATGACAACATAACGTTCGTTTTTCCACATCCACTGGGTCCACAAATGATGGCGCGAAACGAATTCGGTAATAGTTTGCCATGTTTACTATGTTGAGGCTCTGTCGTAAAGTCCAAGTTAATAATGGGTAACGTCTGCTCTTGTTGAACAACCTTCATCTTGTGAAATTCGAGTACGAAATGTAAGGTTATAAATGTAGATTGTGCTACTTCTAATCATCAGTCTTCATGTTGGTGTATCAAGGTGAAGGTGTCTTGAATTCTCTCATTAATAAATTGCCAGTCGAGTTGCATGTACCTGGCTATCAATATTGTGGACGTAAGTGTGTGTGTGTGTGTGATGCTGCGTATTTCTTTTCTCTAACTTAACGTTGTTTTCAGCTGGAACAAAACTACAAAAGAGGCTTGCACGTGGAGATCCAGGTATTAATCCATTAGACGCTGCTTGCAAACAACACGATATTGCTTATTCGCAAAATAAATCGCTAGAAAAACGACATAACGCAGATCGGATACTTGAAAACGCTGCTTGGGAACGAGTAAAGTCCAAAGACGCTTCTGTTGGTGAAAAAGCTGCCGCTTGGTTTGTTACCAATTCTATTAAAGCAAAAAGAAAACTAGGCATGGGTTTAAAGGCTCGTCGTCGTCGTCGTAGTCGTTGTCCTCGTACGAAACGTTCCTTTCAACGTGATGTTGTGATGAAAATTGCAAAGTCTTTTACGCCTACATCAACTTTAACAAAGTCTGCTTCTAATGCATTAAAAGCAGCAAGACTTGTTGTCAAAAGAGCTGGTGGAAGAAAAACTGTACGTGTTCCCAGAATTATTCCTATAAACAAATCCGGGGGAATATTGCCTCTGATACCGATTTTTGCTGCACTTGGAGCCCTCGGCAGTCTTGCTGGTGGAGCAAGTGCCATTGCGAAAACTGCTATTGATGCTAAAAACGCTCAAAAGAAGCTCGAAGAAAATCAACGTCATAACAAAGCGATGGAAGCGGTCGGTAATGGACTGTACTTGAGAAAAAATGCTAAGGGAGGCTTCGGTCTATTTCTGAAACAGCAAAAAAACTAATAACGCTACCCAATAGACCATTATACGATTACGAAATAACACGTTACGCTAAGCAACTTAAAATACCACATTTTCGAGGAATTTTTATGAGGGACACTTTACCCAAGTCCGGTCCTCGTAAATATGAATGTGGTATTGTAAATGTAGATACATCAGAAAATAGTGGTACTCATTGGGTAGCATATAAGAAAATAAACAAAGTTGTGAAATATTTCGATTCATTTGGTAATTTGAAGCCGATGAAAGAACTTGTGCGATTTTTAGGAAAAAACGTTAAACTATTTTATAACAACGATTCTTTTCAAACGTACGAAGTAATTGTGGGCACCTATGCCTCCAGTTTTTAGCAAAATGATGAAACTTGAAGAAGATTTACAAATGATTATTAAATTATTTATGTGGAATTCTGTAGAATTGCAACATCTTTGGTATACACTCACAAAGGAATGCCAATGTAAATTGATGCATCTTTTACCTTGTCAAACAGATTCATCCCGTCATGTATGGTCAGACGTATGCGGAAATTACATTTCTTATTGTATATTTTGTAATAAAGAATTTGAATAAACCTGGGTATTATTTAAGTCCTTACACTACTACAATGAAATCAGTCATCATGTCACAGTTGCTGAGAGTAAACAGCACCAATCACATATTTTCATTTCGACCTTCTACACCGATAGTGTTGGATCCGAAAAAAGATTATGAATTGGCACTTAGATCTTTCAATTCATACAATTCCATACCAAACATTGAACAGAACGATAAATTTTATTATATTGATCAGAGAAACAAGATGAACGTTATCGAGTTTCCTACAGGATGTTATGAAATTACCGACATAGAAGCATTTATCCGAACGAAAATGGGCCTTGAAAATGCAACTAACCCTGAACAACATTTTTCTCTGAAACCTAACAATAATACATTGAAATGTGAAATTTTTAGCAAATATTATACAATATCGTTTAAAGAACCGAATAATATTGGGCATATATTGGGATTCTCAAGAAAACACCTTAGTCCTAACCAAACGCATTCTTCAGATTTGCCTGTCAAGATTATAAAAGTATCGACTATCCACTTTGATGCCAACATTACGTTGAGATCCTTTGACGGAGACAGACCTGCACACACGATCTACGAATTTGCCATAAAAGTCGATCCTGGCTATGCTATAAACGAAACGCCACTAAATTTACTGTATTTACCAGTTATACCACAACGAGAAATAACCAACATTACAGTGCTGGCTTTAGATCAAGAAGGTCATCCCGTAAATTTTCGAGGTGAAAATAGTACTCTTGTATTGGAGTTGAGAGCAAGAAGCAGATGGGATTAGTTATAAGAGGCAGTGGTGCATCCAAATCTTCAGTGTTGCCACAAGTGCCTAAGCGACGACATCTAACCATAGCAAATATATTGTTTCTCCGTTCACTTGGATCAAAGAGGTTAGAAAGGGTAGAGGTAACATAGGAAGCATTTGTCGCTGCGCGAATTTTGCCAAAACCGAAAAACTGGGTGGAAGGAGTAGGGAGATGTTCTGGGCCGGACTTAAATATTTGTATTGTAGTACCTAATTTTGGTGGGTAACTAAAAGATGAAAAATTATGAGACGTTTTTTTGACTTTATTTGTTAGCACGATTCATGTATGATGAGGGCAATAACACTTTATCAATATATAACTAGCTAAGGGCCGATTCCACCGTTGTGTCAAACGAAGTTTAAACGAAGATTAAAATGACATTGTTACTGTAAAAATGTCATTTTAAACTCCATTTAGTAATTTAAACTTCGTTTTTGTTAATATAAAAATGTCATTTTAATCTTCGTTTAGTATTTTAAACTTCGTTTAACAAAACGGTGAAATCTACCCTAAGTAAAAGTTTATAAAATTACTGCAACAAAATATCTGTTGAGACAAAAAGTTATCGAAACAGCCAAAGTACTTTTTGCTCGAATTACACACAAGATTTTTTCTACGATCACACCAAAATAAAATAAATAATTAAATTTTATTAGAAATGTGTTACCTTTTCGTTCGTTAAAATATTTTAAGTTTATTTGACATAAGCCTAGTCTTCGAAGAGAAAAAATGTTTTGGTACTTATATGCCGGTAATTATTTATGATTTAATTATTTCCAGAAAATACCGTTCAATGAATTAAAATATTAGGAAGTCAATTAATAGGTATTTATGTAACCAGTTACGAAATGCCTTATTTTGTGTAACGAGTAAATATTTGCGGGACGAGCGGAGCGAGGTCCCACAACATGAACGACTTACACAAAACGGCATTTCGTAACGTGTTTACATACAAGATTTTTTCTAATTTCGACTTGATTATTTATAAAATAGTGTTAAAAATGATTCACCATCATTCTTCTGTAGGTACTTCCAATCAAATATTTTAGAATTGTTTGTTGTATTTGATTGCTCTACGACGTTTGTTTTTTAATAGTAATAATAAAAATAAGGGACATGTGCAGTGTTTCCGATCTAATTTTTGACATTACCCGCGAGAAATTTGAAAAAAAAACATTTTTACCCATTATCCTTAAAGAAGTACGTCAAAATTTTACTCCCAACATTTCTGGGCAGTTTTCAATAACGGCGTTATTTTAAAAATAAAACGCAATTTACAGCTTTTCTTTTTTGTTGTTAAACGTAATGTCATATTTTCAAATGTGAAATGTCACTACTCATTGCCTTTTTTTTGATAGTTGGTTATTTCGATTTTTCGTTTTTTGGATTTTTCGATTTTTTATTTTTCGATTTTTAGATTTTTCGATTACTCGATTTTCGATTTTTCGATTTTTCAATTTCATGATTTTTTTCAACTTAAAAACCAAAAAAGAGGCAGTTTTATTTATTTTCATTTCGTAACTGGTGACATATTCAACTTTTCGTAATCAGTTGCATAATGTTCTACTTTATGCAACTGGTTGCATAAAGTAGATCTTTTGACACTTGCTGCGATTACAAAATATATCACTTTATATGTCAAAATTAGAGAAAATAACAGAATGTAAATTAAATGGATAGATCCCATATTAGCGAAATATTTGACGGAGACCTAAACACATAAAACACAATTTAAAAAATGTATTTCTAATTTTTCTTTATTTTGACTCTCATTTTGACTTTCAATAGGTAAACATGATAAAAAATCGGCTTTATATTATGCTCCGATTTCACATATTCAATTTTATAATTATAATATGACAATATTACTGCCCATCTACGTAGTCTGTTGGCTGAAAATTGGGGTATACATTTAGCTGGGTTAAAAATAGTTACCATAGGTAAGTGATCTGAAACTAAGATAAAGAAATGTCCATATAAATATTCATTAATTTTATTTAAGCCAAAAATTATTGCAAGGACCTCTCTTTCAATTTGGGAATATTTTTGTTTGGACTTTGATAAGGTACGCGAAGCAGAAGCTACAGATTTCTCAATATTTTTTTCAAAAACATGACATCATGGCCCTTAT